CTCACCTGTAAGTCAAATGGCACCATCAATCATCCTTAAGTCCCCCGGAGCGCCACGACAAATAATAATAATACCCGTCCCTTCCCCTACACAAGTCGTTCAGTCGACTTCAGGGGTTTAAATTCACTCGTAAGGGGGTGAATTAGGGAGAGTATTATTATTATTATATTATTAATTGTAGCAAAAATATAAGTTGATCTATGGAAGCATTTTGTTAAAATATTGTTGGGAACAATATCGAATTTATTCTTACCTATACGTCATCATGGTATATAAATTTTGTTTTTCACTAAAAATAAAGTATTTTGTGTTAGTTAGATTGGGTCAATTGCTAAAGTCCAAAAAGAAGTACATAACATTTATAAAACATAATAAAATTTTGCCGAAACGCAAAAACACGTCAATTACCTAGTAGCTTTGAATTGCTTTAATTTTAGTAGATTTCCATTTTTAATTTGGTGCTATTTCATCAATAATATTTTTTAAAAGCCCACCCTATGATATATTAATAATATATTAGTACAGATCCAATAAATAATAATTTAAATTTTTCTCTAAAAGTTTTTAAGAAAATTAAACGAAATGATGCCACTGGGCGATATTGTTTCTCAAGAATCTATAGGGCTTTAAATGTGTGCAACGATAAGACAACACTCTATAGAGACGTTTAAAAACATTAAATTAAAGAACTACTAGATATTCATTATAATAAAAAGCAGTAAATATTCATAGATTTAATACAGAATGACTAGGGCCGCCGAGAGCCAGGTCGGGCCCCGGAACAATTTTCCAGGTCGGGCCTTGCGACAATTTTAAACAAAATTATGCCCCTTTAATATCACATTTCTAAAAAAATACAATAAAAAGGTCTTTACGCAAAAACTTCTCCTCATCTTTATTGAAACCTCTTAAAAAAAGGTCCTCCCTCTTGTGCCGAACTTTTAAAAAAATAAAGCCCGGGCCCCCAATTGAGCCCGGGCCTCCAATTCAGCCCGAGCCCCCAATTGAGCCCGGACCCCGGATATTGGTCCCGGCTACCCCCCTCTTGTCGACCCTGAGAATGACGTGTAAATGTTTTTATTCCTTTTAAATATTCTTAAAATAATTAATTATTTTGTATTATTGGAATTTCCTGAAAATTTCACAAAAATCGGAATAAAAATAAAGGACCAGAAGAAATTATAAATTTTCAAGGTGTTCGGTTTGCTCTTTTGGGTTTTTGCACAAATGGTTTTTTTTTAATTAATGTGTTTATGTGGGAAAAACCGTAAAGTCAGATGTGTTTATTTCAACTGTCATATGTTAATCCCCTCCTATCCATACTCTAATCAAAATGTATAATTTAAAAAAGAATATTATAATCTATATCGTTGAGAAGGTAAATTGTTTGGATCATAAAGCTATAAGACTGTTTATAATGCTATTTTTTGATTTAAGCGCCCTAAATAAAATCTTAAAATATGGATTTTACGTGAATCCTGGTCAAATTTTTGAGAAAATATTAAATAACAAAAAACTGACATGTGTATATATTTAAATATTACTGAAAATCAGAATGATACATACCGAGTTGTCAATAAATATCTGATTAGACTTAAGAAGCAGATTTTACTTATAATACTGAATTAACCTTATGTATAAATTTAGACACACGACCACTGAACGATTTCTAATACACTTTACTAATGCCCAAGTGAAAACAAGTCAGTAATAGGGTGAACAGGAAACAAATAATATCAACGGTGCGAGTTTATACGGCTTGACCGCGTTGCAGCGTTGGCCGGGCCGTATAAACTGCCAACGCTTATACTATTCGTTTTCTACGTGCACTAATGCTAACGCTCCGTAGTTTTCATTTAAACATAAGCAAAGCGTATTGGAAAGCATTCGATAGTTTACACTGTATAATTATTATAGATTTTCACTTGTATATTGTATACCAATTTAGTTTTATTTATACTATGCATAATATTTATAAATTATTGTAATGAAGACAATATTAATATTATTATTAGTTGGATAAAATCTCCCACGTATAGTGAATTGTGACATTTTACTTGAAACCTAATTTTATTAGGAGGTATAAATTAATTATTTTAGTTGATTGCGATTAAGTTTGTAATTTTTTACGTTAGATGTCTGCAAGATTTATTAATAATTTAAATTAAATAAATCATAAATTAACGGCTAAAATATTATGCTTATGTTCATGTTTCAATTATGTTTTGTTGTATTTTACATTAAGTTACTAATAAAATTAGCTTTCACATAAAGTGTAATACTTTCGTGCCACAATGCGTAAGAGTTTTTTCCCCCTATCGGGTACTAAAGTTAAGAGAAACGCAATGGACAGTCATATGCTGAAATGTCCATAAAATTATCTTTTCGATGATGTATCATACGTGGTATTTTCCATATTCAAATTGTATTGGTTAGAGTGACGGAATAGAGGGGAATGACCTATGACAGTTAAGAATATGAAAGAAAGGTGCCCCCATTGAAAAAAAAAACCAATAGACCTGTTTCTGTGCTCTTCTTTTGAAAAATCTCCTTCAAGATATTCTAAAATATAGCCAGTAATAGCAATTTATCAGACATTCTGTATAAAACGTTAACTGATCTAAAAATATCCAAATACATAGGTGATTTTAGCTAAGTATATATAACCTAAATAATGAAACCAAAATTTTTTTTTTCGAAAGTAACTTTCCTTTTATAGAGTGTGTTTACATCTTTAATTTATAAAAAAATCCAACGAATCTCATTCTCAAAATAAATTCATGAATTTCTTTTATCTACGCATAAATATTTTCAACCGATTTGTTTATACCTAATTTAAAGTACGAAGTGCCAAGTGCCCTACTAACAAATTCATGAATTTGTTTTATAAATCTACAAAAACTATTTTCAAACTATTTAAGAGCCAAGCGAATTGTCACATTTTATTAACAGATTCTCTTAAAATAAGTTCACGTTTCATCTTTCATTCATTATCAAACCGATATTTGGGATAGAGAGGTCTATTCTGTAACTAAAGTTGTTATCTGGCAACTTTCTAACCACTTGCTATCTTACCACTTTCATAGCATTTATTATGAAACACCCTGTATAATAACTTTGACATAAGTAGCAATTCTAGTATTAGGCATTCCAAACAAATGAATTACCAGTGGGCAGGTTTGGTATATCTAAGGGTGGCGACATATGGTGTATTCTATCTACTTTACGTAAAATCATGAATAATACATTACATTTAAATATTTTATGTCAAACACAATAAAAATAATATTTAAAAAACCCACCTATACATTTCTTCATAAATTGGCAGGCTTGGCGAGTACAACTTCGAATAAAAATAGCGTCAAAGTTGCAAGACTATGTCGCTACCCCCTTAAATATACAAGAATTTCCCACTGGCACCTATTGTTTGACAGGTCGTTGGAATGCCTAATTCATGATGGCTAAATTAGTCTATGTTGTATCTTGCAGTTATGCTACTGACCAAGTTGCTATGATCTAGGTCAGTTGTTTTATCAACACTTTGAGAAAATCAGATTTCTCTAAGTAAAATCTGCAATAGTTTAGGAGCCCACTGCAAAATGTTGGGTCGATCACTAGTATGGCTAAATTTTTATGAAAACGTCGGATAATATATTGTACAATAGTAATCCGTCGGCAGCCGTCCCAATATCGTTTGCGTTCTACGTTATAAAAAATTATTAACAATTGAAAATATGTGCCACCCTCCACCCATCGCTTTTTTGCCAAATTTTCTACTTAATCGATAGATAGTAATTAAATATAATGTTCTATACCCGGCTGCCGACCATCATCCTTTGCGTTAAGGGTGGCTGACGGGGCCGAAAAGTACTATATCGATGTTGCTTTTATACACTCATCGCTTTTATAGTCAAACAAAATGCCGTTGGAAAAGTCGCAAAATTTCCAACAAGAAAATACCCGGCTGCCGCGCGAAAGCGTTTGCATAACTTAGGCTGCCGCGATTTTGTGCGCGCGCAAGATTCGATCACTTATGAAATCCGCGCTTTAGATAAGGAGTTTGGGAGTGTGCGCACAGCTGACGTTTATTTGACAACTGTTATTGCCTCTGGTTGGAACACGCGGGTTTACGATTAAAGTTAAAGCGTCACGCTTTCAAGTATTCTTTGAATATTTGTTATTCTGTTATTTTTATAAATATATAGTTTGTGTTGTTTTTTTTTTATTGTTTTTATTTTTAGTTATGTTTAAAACATCCCTATATATATATAAAGCAGAGACCGTAATTAATGTTCAAGAGAGGTAAATAAATAGAGAAGTCTTAATTTTGTTTTGTTTATTGTAATTTATAAAATTATTAGAATTTAAACTTTTCTTTATTACAAAAAGTGTACATAGTTATAGTTAACAAAATGAAAAAACTAAGTGCCAGATTTTACACATTTTTTAGTCATCACTAAATTCCTCAGATGAATCGTTTTCCGAGTAATTGATATCGGAATCGGTATCGCTGTCATATTGCTCGACAATTGTGTTTGCGTTGATAATTAATTCATTTGAAATACAATTATCTTCTTGCAAAATATCAGTTATTGTTGTCGGCAAAGTTTCCCCAACGAACCAAATAGGTTTTAAAATCTGTACATCCCCATGTGGTTCTATAGACCATCCACATTCTTCGGGTTTTAAGATTGCGCAGCGAGATTCAGTCGCATTACGCCACATCGAATTAATGTAGATGGTTCTTAATATTTTTTGTTTTAGAGTCTTACAGCAAGGCGGAATAAGAGTCGATTCAAACCCTTTTACTTTAGTCGCGATTTTTGTACCATTTCCTTTAGGAGCATAAGTTTTATTGAAAATATTATATCTAGCTTCATTAACACTTATACAATTCCTTTCTTTATACAGTAAACATGTGAATTCTTGAACAGAGTCAATAATGTGATTGTCAAACATATTGGAAGGATCTGATAGAGATATGAAAACTTTTTGTATTTTTACATTTTTTTAAAAATATTGAAAGGGGTGACTTTGCCTTTTCCATAAAACGATGCCGAATAATCACAGCCGGTGAAAGCGTGAAACGCTGGCAAGCTAATACAAAGATTAGACCTTAAACTTGATGCAAGATCATTGCAATTGATGCAGAATTGCTTCCTGGCAGATGTCTTCCCACAAAAACAAACATTTATTTTAGAAAATTTTTTGATATTTCCCAGCAAGATTACGAGAACGTCTGTGTCCGTAGCTTTTATAACAACATTTGATGGACTAGGGAGTTTGCTCAAGTGGAAAATCATTCTCGTGTCTGCTTCCTCGTGAAAACATTCCAATCTTTTTTCTTCAGTTTTTATTACAGATCCATTTTTGCAATAAAACGAGAAACATTTTTCTTGAGACGTGATAAAAACCTTTTTTTGTCCAAGAATGACAGAGGTACATGAGCTTTCCCAGTGATCGCAAAGGAATACAACTAAACCTTGCTTGAATTTGAAATTTTTTAAATTTTGTTGAAAATCGCCATGCCTTTTTTGCAGTGGGCCAGTAATAGAAATTGGGGTGTTGCATTCATTGCGATTTATACGCCCGCAATCTTTTATCGAAGGCGAAATGTGAACATCAAAAATTAAATGAATTTCTGAGGAAGCCGATGCGCAAACTTTGATTAAAATTTTTTCGGCAATTCTTCCAAATTCAAGTGGAACGACAGCACCCATCTGATGCAACAAATAAAAACCATCTATTATTTCAACATCTACAAAAGGTGGCAGTGTCTGTTCTACTCGGGACATGAGTTTTTTGGCCAAAGTTGATTTGTCAGTCTTGCACATTTCGCCATCAATGGGAAATAGAGCCAGGGGAACAGGGACCAAAGGAAAACGAAAACATCGTTCCATATCAACTTTCTTTTCGATGGCAATCTTCAGAAGGCAACCAAATATATCACGTTCCATTTTAGTCACAACTTGTTTTTTTCCATCAGGGGTTTTTCGTATTGTCTTTACTGAATCGTGTGTAAAGTTAAATAATTTGTTTTGTTTTACACTGCTATTGAAATTCGTTGAATCGCTGGCACAAGAAGAAATAAAACTATTTTTTTGTACGCGTCCCAATTCTCGCGATTTTATCAAAAAATCAACTACTGAACTAGAAGCCGCTTTTCCAGTGGAAATGTTAAACAGTTATTTCTGATCAACGGTTGCACTAAAAGGATTCATATTATCATGTATAGTTTGAATGATTGAGTCGAGATGTTTACGATCTTTCTTTATTCTATCGGATTTTAAAGAATGGGAAACGTCATCTTTTCGAGAAAGGGAGACACCTTCCAAAACTTTAGAAATGATCTTTGTTCGCATGCTGTGACTTAAAGCCCACCTTTGACGCGCAGAAAAGGAATCAGTCAGGTGACTAACTCCCGTCAATTTATTACCAGCATCCGCGTTGATTGTTTGCTCGAGAGTCAAATCGATTGGAGCGCGTGCTAACTTATTGGATGTGCGTTTGACACCGAAAGCTCCTTGATGGAATTGCAACACCAATGGCGAATTTTCTGTTTTCAATCTGATTAAATTGCTTAAGTAAGCGACAGACCTACGAGCGTAGTTTGGCTGATTCATAATGAAGAACAAATCAGCCCTATCCGAGATCGAAGCTATATAAATATCTAAATTACCACTTCTAATGCTTCTCGAAAATATGTGATAAATGGAAATTAGCTCGACAAATTGGATGTAATACTGCGCACTTTTACCATGAATACCAGCCAAAGTCAACTCATGGAAATCTCGATATCGATTAACAACAGATGTAAGTGAATCAGAAAGCGGAAGTGCCTCATTTGGTCCCGTTGGGCAACTTTTTAAGTGCAGTAGGTCCTCGGACATTTCTTGAAGTTCAATATTTTCTTCGGAGAGAAAACGTTGCAGATGTAGTGTCTGTAGAGCAGCGCTTAGCAGGGGGTAAATACGTTTGCACCTGTTAAAGTGCTTGCCGCCTATAAAAGCATTTACTGAGCCACCGGCAAGAACTTCAGATTGAACCAAAATGTCTATCAAACCGGAGGAGTCAATGATTGTACCAATAGCATTGAAATAAGCCATCTGCATATAAAAAGCACCAAGATTTATAAAAATGTGATCGAAATAAGGGCTTTCTTGCTTTTGTATTTGCATGGCCATCTTCGCTATAGCGAGATCATAAGTAACGATTATTTGGCTTTGATGGCATTTCTCGGCAATAGAACGTGTATAACACAACGTCTCGTAAACTACATCGTATGAAGTGGGCGACGCATTAATAGGAGGCAAATAGTCTACTATCTGAGTATTGGATTCGTCGGATATCATTGTACAGTTATGACCAAGCCACATCGGCTCGGATGGATTTAAAAAAAAAGACATTAATCACACCAGATCTCTTTCAGAAGCAATTTTTGTCGATTCTTTGCAAGTATCGATACAATCCAAAATTGTTGGCAAAGGGAGCAATGAAATGGCAGAATTTGGTTTGGGATAATAATTTCTATTCTCGTTATCTAATATATCGAATTTTCTACCTTTCCTAGAAACTGGCGCATCATCTTCACTGTCAGAGGATTGTTGCAAAGGCACTTGCTCAACTTCTTGTCGAGTTGCGATAATTCTCGGATTGTCCATTTGATAAATTATTCCGACCGTATCGTGCAAAGTGTCCTTGCCGCCGTAAGTATCTACATAACGATCAAAATTATCAAATGCCACGTGAGTGCAAAGACCGTCAATTGTGCGAATACCCGGAGGAGAATTTTTCGCAAAGTGAGTATAAGTCATTTCAGTTTCTATTTCCTCGGCCGTGTTGTACGAAATTGTGTGACCATATCGATTTAAAATTGTCAAGACCTTTTTTGAGTTTGTGATTGATTTCAAAGCCAACCCAAGTGTGAGATGTTTTGATGGTCTTACTTTGCCTTTGTTGATTACAAAAATCAAATCACTACAGATTGATTTGATTTTGAATTCATCGTCACAACAGTTTCGCCTACGACAATCAGGACCGTACACCAAGTCAGCTATGAACTGGAATAAATCCTCGGGAATATCGGTTTCTCCTTCAAGTACATTTTCTACAGTAACGTCCCTCGGTAATTTCCTAGCGGTTGAAGACTTCACGGAGTGGCACAAAGCAAAAGCAACGTTTTTGAATCGGGTACTCTCGCGATCATCAGCGACTGCTGATTTCGCAGCAAAAGCAGCCGAAGTTATTTCGGGATTGAATACGACTCTTTTTCCCTGCGGGAGATCTAAAATTTGAATCATGATGCGTTCACCAAACGAACTCATTATTTTCCGTTGTAAATTATCGCAAGTATAAGAATCGAAGCCCTTTATATTTGTATTGCTCCCGTATTTCACAAGTAAGGCTTTGTAGTGTAACAGCAAATCCGTAAGGAAATATACTTCCTTTTTTGAAATGATTTCCTCCTCAATAAACGAGGACAAAGCCTCAAAAGCAGTTTGATGCAGGGGTAATTGTTTTTCTTCTGAACAGTTATTGCACGGTGCTTGAATTTGTAAGAAGTAAAGCAAGGATTATGATATGGTACAGAATCACATTTTGATAATTTCAACAATAAATCATCATCTTCTAGCTCGACTGCCATAATTTTCATGGATTCCACTAGTTTCGATAATACAGGCGAAGTGCTTATTTTCAATGATTTACGATTTATCATTTTTCGCTGAGTGTCGCAAAAAATACAGCGATTATCACTTTTGATAGAAATTTGCATGACAAGAGGTGGTAATTGCTGTAAAGCATTCGTAGAGGTTGACGCAGGTGAAGATGCTGATGGTTCTAGGCTCCAGCTTTCAACGTGAAATGAAGGTTTGTGTTGTAGGCCCAATTGGTCGGTGGTTACGGATGACGATTCGATTGATTCTTGAGTAGAATCTTCAAAATTCATTGGTTTATCAGTAGAGTTTTCGACAGACTTAGATGATATTCTTGTTACTGAGTCCGTATTACTTGTATGAAAGATTGGCTTGCTTGTCGTGAACGAAGCAACAGCTTGCTATAAAATAAACAATAGTGCTTTATGTACATTACTATAACAAAGAAGCAAATGACATTTTGTCATTTTTACTCCTCCATTTTGAATTTGATAATTTTTACCCAGTAATAGGTTTATTGTAGTTATTGAATACTTAAAATCAAAAAGTTTGGTACATGAGAGAAATAGTATATTGTGCAAAGAGAAAAATTCTATATTTTTTTACTACTGCAATCCCGTGTCTAACACGGGCATCTTAATGTTTCTGTTTATAATTATATCATATCGTTTATATTTTTTGAGTAAGTCAGTGGAAATATTTAAATTTATAAAACTCGATTAAAAAAATGTACATTGTCTGGGTTGTGACAAACTTCAATGATGCTTTAAAAATCAAAATAAACTAATGTGAAATCTACGTCACTCTAAACTTACAAAATTCTGTAAAATTCTATTAAATTACCAATAATTCTGTTTTATAAAATACATTGAAATTTTTTACAATAAATTCTCATATAGTGGACTTTTTTCTTTAAACTTCGTTTTACTTATATTGTTTTGACAGTTTTGTTTTTAAGTAATTTCAGGATTTTCTTTAGGTTACACGGGCAATTCTACAACCACATAATTTTTGTTTCATTTAATTTATGCTTTAAATGCAGTAAAGTTATATATTATATAACGCATTTGTTAATAATTTAATGGCAAAGAAGTAAATACTTACAATTGTTTGCAAATTAATATTAAGTTCAGCTCGGTATTTTGGGTTTAAAGTTGTAATTTTCTTTAAGCATTTCGAATGATATCCGGCGTCATTTCGGTTTGGCAACAACAAATTTCCGTATTGAAAATTTTTTTCTTTTCGAAATTGCAGGACTCTGGTTAATTTTTGGAAAGTTTCGTCGCTCCATTTTAAGACGTTGCCGTCGTTTTTGCAAACAAAACACCTGGCCATCGTTATAACAATTTATAATTATCACGACAAAGGGAAAAATTTCAACTTAAGCAATGACAAATGTCAAATAGACGTCAGCTGTGCGCATACTCCCAAACTCTTTAGCTTTATCTAAAGCGCGGATTTCATACGTGATCGAATCTTGCGCGCGCATAAAATCGCGGCAGCCCTAAGTTATGCAAACGCTTTCGCGCGGCAGCCGGGTATTTTCTTGTTGGAAATTTTGCGACTTTTCCAACGGTATTTTGTTTGACTATAAAAGCGATGAGTGTATAAAAGCAACATCGATATAGTACTTTTCGGCCCCGTCAGCCACCCTTAACGCAAAGGATGATGGTCGGCAGCCGGGTATAGAACATTATATTTAATTACTATCTATCGGTTAAGTAGAAAATTTGGCAAAAAAGCGATGGGTGGAGGGTGGCACATATTTTCAATTGATAATAATTTTTTATAACGTAAAACGCAAACAATATTGGGGCGGCTGCCGACGGATTACTATTGTACAATATATTACCCGATGTTTTCATAAGAATTTAGCCATACTAGTGATCGACCCAACATTTTGCAGTGGGCTCCTAAACTATAACAACTAGTGGTTACAAAAGTGGATTCAGAGTTATTTGGAAGCAACCAAATATTCTTGATGGTTAAGCGTAACAACTAGTTGCTATAAAAGAAATATTATGGACCCTGGATAATAAACATTTTAATAAAAATTAATGGAACGTACCTATATTTACTGATAGAATAATATATAGGGTATTTTTTTATTATTGCGAAAAAATTCAGAGGCGTGTCCCTTGGACGAAATGAAGTAAAAAAGTTCTTATGAACATATGTCCTACGCCTCTTAGATTTTGAACTAAAGGGTGGTAAAGTTATAAGCAAAAAACTTATTTATAATATATAATATTTTCACGAATGGACTCAGATGATCCAAGTTATCACCTCTAAAAACCGGAACGAACTGAGCTCCGATCATCTATTCATTGAGCATATCACATTGACAGCTTCAGATAAATCTGCTGCACTATGCAATTCCCAATAATAATATCGGCTATTTAGAATCTTTCTCCATTCATGTATGTGATGGAAAAGAAAGTGTTGTAACGCCGCTGTTCCTTTTATTCTTCTTTTTCTTTCTACACTTTTGCTGTACTACCCCAATTCTCTCTTAGTACAACAATTGAATTGAATTTGGTATTGATTATTTGCTTATTTGGTAAAAGTACAATGGCGGTTAATAAATTGGACTGCAACCTCATTTTCTCTATCAGTGTAGTAGAAAATCAACCTCCTGTTAGCTCTAATTGAATTTTATTTACAAATCTAAATTGCCATTTACAAAAATAACTATTGTAAATAATGTATACTTTGTTTTCCTTAATAGTGTTCATGCCCAATACATTTTAAATTAGTCAACACATTTTAGCCATAGATTTGTCTTTATTGACCTCAAAATGACGTCACTACTTTCACCAGAATTTAAAAAGTATTATTGATCATTTGTTAGTTTTATTTGCCATTTTCAATTAAGGAAATAATGTATCCAATGTAACCAGAGATAACAGAGATATAATCATTCATTGATAAAATATAATATTCACGATGATCTTTGTGCAAAACTGGCCTGCTACCCAAACAAAAACCTGTTATAAAAAATGGTATTATGAAGCTCACAAGAAGATGACAAAGGTGTATAGAGTTAGATATAGAGTAGTAAATGTTATTTAATGAAAGTTTTAATACAATAAATATCCGAAATAAATTTGGAAAGTCCTCGTATAAAGTATTTGGAAAATAGCTTATTCAATTTAAACAATGTTAAGATATTTTTTTACTGAGCGTACTTCATTTAAATTTAACATTTTTAATAAAACAGTTAAAGAATATTAGCTAAACAACAAACAATATCAGTATATTATATGATTTTTTTTTATTTCTAATTACCTTTCCCATTACTTCATTTCGTTTAATCCGTAACAAAGGATCATGGGATTATTTTAAAGGGACCGTTGTATAGGACTAGTATATAGGACTATTATAATATAATACATGAGACTATTTATTTTATGTAGAGAAATATTGTATAAGACTGTTATTTAAGACATGACTATTATATAAAAGTATTATGAGAATATTACATAAGAAAACTATAAAGGACTATTATATACTGTAATATGATACTTGTTATTTAATCTATTTTTTTTTAGTGTTCTAAGTTCTAATGATTTTGTGAGTGGGTCAGGTTATTAAATAACTCGTATTACTTTGAAAAAAGAATATTGGGCGCCACTATATTTAAAACTTACTAAACTTGACTATTGATTAGTGATAAAAATATAGAAAATCACTAATCATAAGATATTATAATTAAACAAAGTTTTAGATAAGGTAGCAAAAAATTCTTATTCGCAGAGATTAACTTATTCAAATTTAGATGATTTATTGAAGTAAAATAATAGACTTATCTGTTGAACAGGAGGTAGTATACAAGGAGATTTGCATAGGCCTTCTTCAAAGGGACTCGAACGATACTCTTCGGACAGCACAGGTATTAATCTTCATAAACTCAAATCTCTTACTTCTTTAGATGCAGCTTGAACTAAACCTCTTGATAGAAATCACCATAAACAGTTTAGATATACTTAAATTAAACTTCTAAACTATGACTTGAAATTAACTTCTTCGATACAGCTTGAACTAAACTTCTAAACTATGACTTGAAATGAACCTATTCGATACAGCTTGAACTAAACTTCTAAACCGTCTAGATACAGCCAGGCTTATAAAATCAGACGGCCTATACGATAGATAAACTTTATTTAGTACATCGGATGGCCTAGATAATTTAACATTTAAATCAACATGCTTCGTTGACAGATATAAATCGAAAATGAATTACCAACTTTTGTCGCAAGGCATAAACGACAAATGACATTAGAGTAGAGATGTTTGCGTCAAAATAACGAAAACGGTTCCAACCGTTACAATGTTAGGGTCTATATAACGAAAACGGTTCCAACCGTTACAATACAACTAATATTAAGATTTATTATGAAGGACATTTATATAGGGCTCTTATACAAGACTCATTTACACTCCTGTTCAAAGTTAACGCACCACTTACAATTTACGATTAATTTTGATTATTTAAGACAATACTGACGTTTATTTTAAAAAATTGTACGTCGCTCATGTCAAGTAGGTATTCATGTCAGTTCTGAATTGTTGCGTCTATACTGTATTAATTTGGCTAAGAGAAAAACAATAATTACTTTGTTAATATCATTCCAGTTTAATGCATGTATTGTTTAAAGTTGCTGTTTAAGTGATTATCTTATTTATTATCGAAAAGTTTAGTTTGTAAGATCAACATTTGACCTATTCACTAAAAAACATGAATCGAGCACCCCGTTTAAGCAATGATGAATGTGTGAGAGCTGCAACTTGCTAGAAGTGGGAAAAAGAATGCGTTATTAGGGCAATTTGTGTTCATCATTCAAAAATTAGTCGAATGGTTAAAATATTTAAAGAAACTGGATCTCATGTTAGAAAGCGCGGTCAGGGCAGCAAAAAGGCCACAATTCAAATTGTTGAGTGCATTTTCCGACAACAGGTATTAAGAAATCGAATATGTTAGAAATATCAGAATTTCTGCTTTAACCATCAGGAGAAGATTAGTTAGCAGAAGACCTGTCACTGCACCGTTGCTTACCATAGATCACAGATCACGCAGATTAAGGTTCGCCAGAGATCATACACATTAGACTGTCCATAATTGGAAGAGAGTTTTATTAACAGATGTAGTCCAAAATCTCCAGACGGTCGTGATATAGAATAAATGCGAAGACATGGAGAAAAGTTTTGTCATTGCACCATCTTTTCAAGGGAACCAATAGAATAAAATAGCATGAAATAGAATAAAAGAGAATAAAATAGAATAAAATAGAATAACATAGAATAAAATAGAATAAAATAGAATAAAATAGAATAAAATAGAATAAAATAGAATAAAATAGAATAAAATAGAATAAAATAGAATAAAATAGAATAAAATAGAATAAAATAGAATAAAATAGAATAAAATAGAATAAAATAGAATAAAATAGAATAAAATAGAATAAAATAGAATAAAATAGAATAAAATAGAATAAAATAGAATAAAATAGAATAAAATAGAATAAAATAGAATAAAATAGAATAAAATAGAATAAAATAGAATAAAATAGAATAAAATAGAATAAAATAGAATAAAATAGAATAAAATAGAATAAAATAGAATAAAATAGAATAAAATAGAATAAAATAGAATAAAATAGAATAAAATAGAATAAAATAGAATAAAATAGAATAAAATAGAATAAAATAGAATAAAATAGAACAAAATAGAATAAAATAGAATAAAATAGAATAAAATAGAATAAAATAGAATAAAATAGAATAAAATAGAATAACATAGAATAAAATGGAATAAAATAAAATAAAATAGAATAAAATAGAATAAAAGAGAATAAAATAGAATAAAATGGAATAAAATAGAATAAAATAGAATAACATAGAATAAAATAGAATAAAATAAAATAAAATAAAATAGAATAAAATAGAATAAAATAGAATAAAATAGAATAAAATAAAATAAAATAGAATAAAATAAAATAGAATAAAATAGAATAAAATAGAATAAAATAGAATAAAATAGAATAAAATAGAATAAAATAGAATAAAATAGAATAAAATAGAATAAAATAGAATAAAATAGAATAAAATAGAATAAAATAGAATAAAATAGAATAAAATAGAATAAAATAGAATAAAATAGAATAAAATAGAATAAAATAGAATAAAATAGAATAAAATAGAATAAAATAGAATAAAATAGAATAAAATAGAATAAAATAGAATAAAATAGAATAAAATAGAATAAAATAGAATAAAATAGAATAAAATAGAATAAAATAGAATAAAATAGAATAAAATAGAATAAAATAGAATAAAATAGAATAAAATAGAATAAAATAGAATAAAATAGAATAAAATAGAATAAAATAGAATAAAATAGAATAAAATAGAATAAAATAGAATAAAATAGAATAAAATAGAATAAAATAGAATAAAATAGAATAAAATAGAATAAAATAGAATAAAATAGAATAAAATAGAATAAAATAGAATAAAATAGAATAAAATAGAATAAAATAGAATAAAATAGAATAAAATAGAATAAAATAGAATAAAATAGAATAAAATAGAATAAAATAGAATAAAATAGAATAAAATAGAATAAAATAGAATAAAATAGAATAAAATAGAATAAAATAGAATAAAATAGAATAAAATAGAATAAAATAGAATAAAATAGAATAAAATAGAATAAAATAGAATAAAATAGAATAAAATAGAATAAAATAGAATAAAATAGAATAAAATAGAATAAAATAGAATAAAATAGAATAAAATAGAATAAAATAGAATAAAATAGAATAAAATAGAATAAAATAGAATAAAATAGAATAAAATAGAATAAAATAGAATAAAATAGAATAAAATAGAATAAAATAGAATAAAATAGAATAAAATAGAATAAAATAGAACAAAATAGAATAAAATAGAATAAAATAGAATAAAATAGAATAAAATAGAATAAAATAGAATAAAATAGAATAACATAGAATAAAATGGAATAAAATAAAATAAAATAGAATAAAATAGAATAAAAGAGAATAAAATAGAATAAAATGGAATAAAATAGAATAAAATAGAATAACATAGAATAAAATAGAATAAAATAAAATAAAATAAAATAGAATAAAATAGAATAAAATAGAATAAAATAGAATAAAATAAAATAAAATAGAATAAAATAAAATAGAATAAAATAGAATAAAATAGAATAAAATAGAATAAAATAGAATAAAATAGAATAAAATAGAATAAAATAGAATAAAATAGAATAAAATAGAATAAAATAGAATAAAATAGAATAAAATAGAATAAAATAGAATAAAATAGAATAAAATAGAATAAAATAGAATAAAATAGAATAAAATAGAATAAAATAGAATAAAATAGAATAAAATAAAATAGAATAAAAAAAATTTGAATTTTTTATTCATTATTGAATATTCTAATATTTTTTCATTTATTACACTTAATATTTGAATGAAAATAAATATGAAAATTTAAAAAAAAATTCATTTATCGTTTTGGATATAATGTTTTTTTAATTTTAATATAATTATTCATATCTAAAACACTTTTTCTTGTCCGTTAGTGCCTCTCTCAAAAATTTAGTTTATACTTTCGACTGAACGTTGAAATTATATCAGATAAAAGAAAGATTACAAATAAATCGCCCAAGAAGTAGGACAAGAAAAATCAGCTATTAATTATTACTCGTTTGGACGTTGTACTTCTAGAGCCAGTTACTAAATAAAGAACATTCCTCTTAGTATAGTTGCGCGTAGACTTGAAAGAATAAGTTTCCCTATAGGCTCTGCACTTTCCAAAGAAATTCAACCTATTTCAACTATTTTCTTGGATAATAATTATATATTGTTTGTGATTCTTAATTTAAAAACTAACATGTCTATCTCTTTCACTGAACTTTCTCTCTATAAAACACTACAAAATCCTGCCAACCTACTAAAAAAAGGCACAGCTGTGTGATGTTTACAGACAATACAATGCATGTGCATTAGGTTTTTAGGACATTTTATTATCTTGAACTTGATAATTCTGTGATTTGAGTAATGCGTTTGATTGTGTCAATCATAAAATATTGTTTAAAAAAATGTTTACTGAATCAAAGACCAAGCGCTGAGTTAGATATAATCTTATCTTTCAGAACGTAAGCAAATCGTAAAATCTACTAAAGACTCTCAAGTTTTAGATATAAGTTGGAAAGTCCCCCAGGGTTCTTTGTTGGGCCCCATTTTATTCTTTATTTATATAAATAACATAGTCCATCGCAATGCATTTTAAATTTTATTTAAAATGGTGGAGGGTATGAAATAAAATAATCTATGATACAGGTCGGGGAAATGATTACTAATGCACTCGTTTAGATATTATTAATTTGACTTCTTCATTGCCTCGACCATAACATATAACTCTTACTTTAATCAGTCACTTTCAGGACTAATAACATAAATGACCATTCTATCATAGGTTATACTAAAAATATTCTTTAATCAGTTAATTGTTAAGGACAGCCTTTTTAACAATAGTCATATGATTAAGTTTTGCCCATAAGCACTATTGTTCAGGAAGTAGATACTGAAAAATACTTAACATTCAAGAAATTTCATCGAAGTCCTCTTCTCCAGAAGCCGGCTGTCTGGTCCTTTAAAATTCAAATTTAAAAGACCAATAAAAAAAATAAATATAACACAATTTATCATCGCTACAGTGTCATTTATAAATAATGGCCGTAAATCAAATAATAAAAGATTGAGTGCTATTTGATCATCTTCCTAAACTGCGAAAACTGTCAATCAAAATCTTCGGCTAATAAAAAATTGCATATTTAAAAAATTGTCTGTAATATACATTCCGGCGAAGCTCAAGCGGTTCAATTCAACATGTAGGGAAAATATTGGCGGCGATATTTTTAACGAGTTTTTCGGAGAATTGAGCTATTTTTCACGGGATATTCAATCAGTCAGGTTGACTGTTAGAGCAGATGTTTTGTTTACATTTTCTTTATTAATTTTTAAATATATTAAAGCCGTTCGGATTTGAAATTTAATATTGGCATTTTTTTTAACTAACGGTGCCTGAATTTTAAACTAAGAGTAGTCTCGTGAACTAACCATTAATTTTAATCTAAAACAATCTAAAATTAATGTTAAAATAAAACAAGATACAGATACGACAAGCGTTTCTTGTTTTTTTGACGTAGGTAAGGGCCGAAAATTCAATTAAAACGAGAATGTATTTCTATAAGATAATATGATTTCATGTCTTAGATTTATTTTTAAAAGTTATAGAGAAAAGTATGATATTTTAACGTTTATTTATTTTAATAAGTATATTATTCTAATATATTTACACTAAATAATATATAAATTTATGTGAGCATTTACTTAAAAACTAATTTAAATTAATTATTTTGATCTACTCACACCAATGTCTCAACTTGAACTGACTGCTCCGAGAGCATTACAGCCTATTTAAACACATAAGTGAGTGCAGGTATATTTGTTACTAATATTAGTAAGAATATAGCTGGATTACTAAGAACCCCTGAAAAATAGGGGACTTCTGTAGCAGGGTATTAGGATAATAAAATGTTCTAGAAATATGTAAAATTGAACTTAAGGTAAAGTAAATATAAAAAAAAATGGAAATAGTTACTCGAGATCCAGCAGCGGTATGAGAAAATACTAAAAAAACGGATGGAAAGGAAAGGTTCCACCACACACTCCTGGCCAAGAATGGCCAGTAACTTTCATGAAAGGAAAGGCAAGGAAGGAAAGAAAGGAGTCCACTTGATTACTTTACTTACATAGTAAATGTACATGCACATATTAACAGCATTTGCGTGCGAAAGGATTTTGTAATAGATCTAGATATTTACTAGAAATTTACTTTTCTCATCAGTGTCCCTATAATTAACCCCTGGATGCCTGCGTATGGCACTTGCCCCGTACATAGCCGTGACTATAGGATATAGTAGTTAATTTTACATAAGGCCAACAAAAAATTAATATTTTGTAATTATAATACACATCGATTTATAATAATATTTAAAACTGTAGTTTCCCATACCCTTCGTTTTGCCTAGGCCCTAGAGTATTGGGATAGCCCCCATAAAAAATTAAACGCTAATAATTAAGCTAAAAACATAATTAAATTAATGTAAGGAAAATACTGTCGGACGAGACGAACGAGAACAAGCGAAAGCCTCACAGTAGCGAGTTCTAGTCACTGTGTATGCACACTAATACAAAAAGCCGCTGAAGCTCTATTGCTCTTCGAAATCTACAGTGGTTTAGTATTTTTTGATTAATTCTTGACAGAAATTTCGAATTAGAAATATATGTTTTTTAGAAGAAGAAGAACCGGTGTCAATGAAATTGTTAAATATTTTTGGATTCTCTTACAAAAAAATCTGATGTGTCCAACACATGACTTTCCTATCTAGTTATTACAGGCTTTTTCCGGTTATTTTGTACAACCTACTGCAGCACCTCTATAAATGTTTAGAGGATAAACTAAATATATACATTTCCCACATACTTCTACCTCGAAACATTTTTCTATAGATATTCATTGAAAACGAAAATAGTGAAAAATTTAAATTTAGCACTTTTCCTACAATTTTTTTATTACGGTCCATTTTAGAAAAATTATGTGCAAACAAAAATTATAGAGACCGATATCGCAAACAACTTTTAGTTCAATAATTTTCATAATAATCAGAATTTTGCACATTTTGTCAAATTTCTCGAATACCGACCATTTCAGGAAATTTTGACATATAGCAAAAATTATAGATAATAATATTAGAAGTAACTTTTATTTAAACAATTTTCTTCTCCAAACATAAATAACAGATATATTCCATAAAATATAAAAACGGCCTCTCATAAAGTACCCCCCCAGATGTTCCGACTTTGTCCAAAATCTTATCATTTCACATCAGGCCGAAATAAAATTAAAGTTTAAAATTTCATGTTTTTTTCTTTATCCGTTTTTGAGTTTTCTTCAAAATTCGAAATTTACACATTTTTTCAAATATCTCGAATACGGTCCATTTTACAGAAATTATGTATGAAATAAAAATTATAGAGAATTATATTACAAACAACTTTTATTTAAACAATTTTTATAAAAAATTATTTTTTTTACATTTTGTCAAATTTCTCGAATACGAATCATTTTAGGAAAATTTTGTGTTAAACAAAAATTTTAGATAATAATATAAGAACTAACTTTTATTTAAAGAATTTTCTTCTCCAAACGTAAATAACAGATATATTCTATAAAATATAAAAATGACCACCTATAAAGTACCCCCCAGATGTTTCGACTTTGCCCAAAATCTAATCAGCTCATTGGACGCTAGAACATAGCTTAAGTTTCAAATTTGGTGTTTTTCTGTGTATCGGTTCATGAGTTATGCGAAACACACACACACACACACACACACACACACACACACACACGCGCACGCACGCACGCACGCACCCACGCACCCACTCACACACACACACACCACACACCACACACCACACACCACACGCACACGCACACGCACACGCACACGCACACGCACACGCACACGCACACGCACACGCGCACCCACACCCACACACACACACACACACACACACACACACACACACACACACACACACACACACACACACACACACACACACACACACACACACGATCATGATTCCTATACTTTCCTTATATCTGTATACAGATAGAAAAGTAATAATAACATTCACAGAGCGAATTCTTCGAATGAGGATTCAGTTTAGAAATAAACTTGTCTTTTATTTAGATTATTGCCAATTTAGCTTGTTCCTCAATAATTTAAATACCGAATACACATAAACCCATTTATTTCAGTTAAGTCCACTTCGAATCAGCTCGGTCTTGGTCCACGGACCACTTTCACAGTCTCATCCGTTCTCTCTCAAGTACTTCATCCACTCTCAAATGAACATTACCATTAAAACTAACGTTTTATCGAACCTCAAACCCCACATACCCCAAAAAGACCCAAAATATACCACCAGCCGAGGTCCCAACTGATAACTATCAACACCGACCCGAACAAACGGACAACATGACAACATCTAACAAACGAAACCACCCACTTACTCTACGTTATTCGTTATATCCCACAGAATACCCATCATAAAAAGCTCTATTTAACGTACTAAACACCAACAAACTATTCAGACACAACCTTACCTATGTTAAGGCCAACTCTAGCAGGACGGCCTTAATAAAAAAAACATTAACGAAATCTCTTACCACTCTTCAGACACTCATCCGACAACGGATGGGGGATAACGAAGTTATTTTTAATCTAAAACAACTAGAGAGACAAACCAGATCCCCCGTCCTCCCAATTCGCTCGTGTCAACCGACAGGTTGACAAGTACATAACTCTCGAATAAATAAAAGATTCTTTTGAGGGTATGAGCATTCCCTATACGAGTGAATGGAGATTTCCTTCAAAAAGACACAAGGATCCACAACCTTCATGAGGATGTTAAATCCTTCAGAATAGCACTCTTCTTAATTAATTCATGAGGGATTCGACATGTTCGGCCAAAGGCACCCCTGCGAACCCTCCAACTCCAGCTCCTTGCCCAGCAGGTTGTAGGAAATCTGAATTGTCATAATCCCAAAATTGCTGCGGCAACCAAACCGCCCACTCACTATCCTGTCCAAAAAAGTAAAAACCACCCCCAAAAGCCCAAATAAGAAGCAACAAACTTCTGACTGCTGATCTGGGCATTTTCGGCCATTCATGTACCATAACTGGTCATTAAAAAGCAATTTTCTCGTTCTCTGCAATACCATTGATGGATTGTCTCATTTGAACTAAATTACTTCGGCCTAGCTCACAAGATGCCCCTGATAAAACCCTTTTAAATTCAGGTAACCTACAAATTCTTTTATTAACAGACACGAAGTCTAAACTTCCAATCAGCTTTATTGGATTTCAAACTGTTTATAAAAATTAGTCCCAAACTTGCCATAGAAATGCTTTAATTATTAATCAAAAATTAAATTCTATTTAATATTCACTCAGTTCTGCTAATCTACTAGACCTTGATTTAATTGCAATTGACCTTTAAATAGACAATCCATTCTCATACTCCAACCACCCTACTATTAGACTATCATCACTTCCTTGTACCATTTGCTTTGAGACCTAAAACTCTAGACATATTTTGTTCGGAAATCATGCCTCAAATCCAAATGGCATCCGTCTAGCAAATCTGCTTATCGACTATCTCATCTTCAGAGTCTCAAACCAACTTCCGACCTTTGTATTTCACCTAGGATCATATATTGTCGAGCATAGACAGATTCATGTACTGGACTGGTTGCTAATAAATGCTTCATTGGAGAGACAATTATTTCCGATTATCTTCCATTGATGTAACATAAATCTCTTCTTGATCCCGCTTTGCCAAAAGTTGCAGTATATACCTTCCGAAACCTCAAAAATGCAGATTGACCACTATTTCGGATGACAATCTCTGCAAATATACCAGAGCACTCAGAATATTTATTCTCTGGTGACTGAAGTTCAAACAACAATCACCCATGCCGTAGAAGCTTTAGCCTCAATTACTTCCATCAACACATCACAAAAAGCCCTTCCCTAATTCGTCCTTAATATAATTCTCCTAAACCGCCGATTGTATAAACAATATGTCTGTACCCACGACCCTGTCATCAAAACCGAATGAGTAAAACCGTCTAGACGCTCTTATCAGACTCCAAACTTACACAATCAATAACAATAGATTAACATTACTTTTAATTTAAATCATAGAGATGCGACAAATTCCGAATCATCACCAGTTAAAAATCCAAAACACATTCCCACATCGAAATCGACATTGAAATATACACAACTCCCGACGAGAAAGCCTTAGCACACAAAACACACCTTGAAAGCCATTTTTAGGACCCCTGAAAACACATACTTTGATGACTGTTTCCGACACGAGACCGAATTCAATGTTCATCAGATACTTGTCGCTCCGCTCTTATCTTTGGATGTCGAAAACCCCCTCACCACCCCATTCACCCTTAAAGATATCCAATACGCCTACCAAGCAGGCACCAGGGTCTGATTTCATACACAGAAAAACGTTGAAACATCTTATTTAAACCATATTTCCCATCCTTACCCTACTTCTGAACGGTTACTTCACTTTTTCCTACTTTTCACTTAACTGGAAATCCGCCAAACCAGGCAAGGGCCCCAAATCCTTAGACTCACATCGTCCTATCTCTATTATATCTGTACTAGGTAAACTACTTGAACTTCTGCTCCAGGAAAAAATCTAGGACTTTTTTAAAGAGTGAAATATAATTAATTAAGCCCAACATTGTTTCAGACCTTATCACGACACTCAGGACGCAATTTCCTTACTGTATACTACTGCGCGGTCACTACAGTAAACTCTCACCAAATCTCTTCAGCCGCTTATGATGGTTACCATTTCCAGTGCAATTTTAGAGAAAGCACTGTTAATTAGAATTCAACAGTGAATGGCCGAATGGTAAATTCTTTCAAGGCATCAGCATCATCAAAAAATTAAAATTAGCAGTTAGCAGTTGTTGCTATTTTCGTTGTATTTAAATGAATACCAGAAATTGTCTTTTCAAATGTACAAATTGTTTTCTCTTGCGCGAAACGCTGATTTTGTTTGATCTCAAATTTCATAAAAGTTGAACAAAAGTATAACATCGAAACAAACTACTTATATAAAAAAAGCGGGTAAAGAACATTTTAATTCCTCTCTTCAAGAC